CACGCCGGCTGTGTGGACGCGGCGCGGGCATATTTTTCCGCGAGCGCGAGCGTGTTGGAAACAACGTCCGCTAGGATTAGCGCCGCACACGCGTGGCGCACGAAAGGAGGCGGGGAAAACACATGTACGGAGAGGATGAAGAACGTAGAGAAGCAGGAAAAAGAGGAGAGAAAGTGGAGGAGCAGAAAAGCGAGCGGCGGCGACGGCGACGGCGACGGCAACGGCGGCTTCGCCTTGGCGTGGTATTTACGACGTCATTTCCTCGCTGACTGTCAATAATTTCCCTAGGGGATGCGGAAGACACCGCGACGACGGCGCCTCCGTCCCGCCGCACGCTGCGCCGCGTTAGTCCACGAGTTTTCCCCTCGCGCCCGCGACTCTCTCGCTATCCAGCTATCTCTCGGCTCGCCGTTGCCACCTTTTTCATCTCGCTGCAAATTGAAAAGACGTCGGCGAGCGAGCTGGCGCCCGCGAAACCCGCGAGCCTGCCGAAAAGTAATATCGCGTAGACGAGATGAGCGCGTGAACGCTCCGATGAAGGGCGAACTCCGTAATTCGCTTCGGAGCGGATTCGATGCTCTCAAGCGTCGAGCTATGGTCTCGCGAGGCGTTCATTTCCTCTTCCGTTCGACGATATCGGTATTAAGTTACGAGATTTTGCGAAATTCGAGACTTGATTATTACGGCTGTCCACAAGCAATCAAGTGTATTTAGAAGAATTTTATTCCTATCGATTTCTACTTGTGTGTGAGCTATGTAGTATATAAACAGTATTTTCTTAGAGTGTGATTTGTGAATGAGACACTTAACTTATCATTGACTTAAAAAATGGAAGGTTTAGGTGTGAATTTTCACATGTTTTATTCATCCGTTTTGAAACTATCTTTCTGAAATTACTCCATTTGGAATTTATTTTCAAATATTTGATTACTTTTGGGTACCCCTACTACTTCATCGATCAACTAATTGACGTTCTTCTAATTTTTCATCGAGTGTCCCGTTACTTGTCCGTCGGTCCAATGATTATATTATACATGTAAGGAGAAGTCAAGGAGATTCGTAATAGATTGTGTTGCAGATACATCGTTATATAAGACGCAATAAGAAAGTAACGTCATGTCGAAAAAATACGTGAATGCGATGAGATAGACGATCTACAAATATATCTTGTAATAATTGTCGAGTATAATGCCGCGCATACTCCTTATCGCGTATCTCGCTCTCGTATTATTCATATCCCGTCTCTCGACCGTGACCTCATCCTTGCCGGGAATAAAAATCAGCGAAACGTGGAAACCGGCGATCGCGTGACTGAAAAACTCCATTCGTCGTCGTCGTCGTCGTCGTCGTCGTCGTCGTCGTCGTCATCTCGCCGATAATAAAACGTAGCTCGTTTCATCCCGTCTCTTACGGAGTTACGTAATTGCTTGAGAGCGGCCTCCGCGGCGGAGCGCCGGTTATTATGCCGCGAGCCCCTTTAAAAACAGCTAAACGCGCAGGGAGACTGCGCGGCCCTCAAGAAGCGGCGCGAGACGGTCTCCGCCTAATGAAGCATCTCCTTTAACTAATTTACAATCAACGCTTCCCGCGCCAACGGTCGACGTGGACGCCGAATGAGATGCCGGAAGAAGCAGCGGTGAAAAGGGGGCGCGGGGACGACGGAGGGGGGTCAGCCGGGGGTGAGAGGGAAGTAGCCAAGTTCCCGTACTTTCTCTGTTCCGCGGCCTTCCGCTGTCGCCTTCATGACCCAGACGGGACTCTTTAATTTTTGCCATCGAGCGACCGTAGCACATCCTCTTTAACTCATTAGACTCAATCAATTATACGGGCGTACGGTTACAGTCTCCTTTCCCTTTCTCATTCTCGCCCCGCGTCTTCTCCGTCTCCGTCTCCGTCTCTGTGTCTCTGTCTCGGTCTCGGCCTCCGTCAGCGTCACCGCCATCTCTCGCCCCGTCCGCCGTGTCGTCCTGCTGCTCAACAACCCCGTCTTAATCCCTCGACCGAGACCCCGAGTGGTATCCCGAGATACCAGGGTTTACCGAGGTAAACCTCTTAGCGTTCCGATGCCGCGGGAAGTCAAGGTCGCGAGTACACGTGATGCACCGTTTTCGTGTCTCCTCGCGGGTCGAGGACTCGTGGCCGTGACGATGTGATCGCTCTAGCTTCGTTCGGTTCACCTACCTGCAACAGAAAAGAAAAGCGCGTTTTGATATCAGTCGTCATATATTCAACTTTACTTTTATGCATGAATTTCAAATATTCAGACATATATAGAAAAAAATATATATATAAAAATATATCACTAACATATATAGACACGTGTTCTTTGGTGCTGCAATTTATTGTAAAATTGCTAGACACAGAGAGAATTATTTTCTTATTTAATATTGAAACTATAATTTCAAGATATGTCCAAGAGACTACAGCCTCACTGAAAGTCAACACGTAAACGACCTTTTCAAGTACAGTAACGATATAAATTTAGTTTTCCCTCAAATCGAAACTGCAGCGAAGACATTTCTTCGTGGCGGTACGATTCGACCCTTTACATCCGCACTCCACCGTGACTTCGTTATCTTAATTTCACGTGCATATAGGCACGATGGAAACGCGTTACATCATAAAGCGGCTCATTTATTTCCCAAACGGTAATGTCATTCGATAAGGTACCTCGATAGGCAGCGAATCGCTCGGTGCATCGCTCGACGTCAGTCGAAACCTTATCGTTGTGCATCGCGCATTATTCGTCAACTTGCGACGAGTGGGTGGAATTTCCACGTGTTTGAACCGTCGACCTTCTTCTTCCTCCTTCGAATACGTTTTGAATGAAATATAATATAGATATTGAAGGCATCCATAAGTGATCAAGTATTTTAAAATGAAGTACATTTAAAAGTCTATGAACTTTTTATTTTTATTTTTTTATTAATAATGTGAAAAGTACTTTGATCACACAAAAAGCATCCTAAGAAAATATTGTTTATATCGTACATATATAACACGCGTAAGAACTGATAAAAAGAAGAGTTCTGTATACATACAGAAATAATTTTTTAGAAGATACTAGCATTCGTAAAAAATACCATACCAACTTGTCCAGCTGGGATATACTTCGGATATATTATCCGGTATAAATTTTCACGCTGTAGAACTAAAAAGATATCCAAAGGGACAATTAATCGTTATAATATATACATTTGGACTTTGGACTAGGAATTTATATCCCAGTTACTCGATGCAGTATGGTATATTATGGAATAAAACTTTTCTCCGCGTACTTTCCATTACCTATGGACACCTCCAATATTTATCATTAGAGCGATGCACACACAATTGCCGCTCGTCGGTGATTGACTTAATGAATCCGGCGCTCTCGGCCAGCATCGTGCTGACGGGCTATATCTGACGCAAACAATTTCATTTAAGTGGTTATCGATTCCACACGCGGTCACGTGAGACGATAATAATAGCGGTGTCGCGCGCGCGTATATGCGTATTGTGTGCCATGCATTCGGCGAATTATGAATAGTCGTGGGTGCAACGCGTCGCGCGAAATTGCTCGTCAGACTCGATTTCGCGCGGCAGAGTATCGTGTTCCGCATTGTGAACGTTGTGACGTTGTAGACATTGTGGTGTTGCCAATACGGACGTTTATACGTTACGTCGCGTACAACTGGATAATGATTAAGAATTGCAAAATGCATGAGCGCATTGTGCGTCGCATTAGCGAGTATGCGTCTGTGTGCCATACATCGGTCGAAGTCGAATATTCGAATCTGATTGCGCAAGTTTAGTTGGGACTATTTTTCTCGTTAAAATTTTCAGTTAGATCGAAGAAAATGACTTGGGAATACCGACGGGGAAATTGACGAAAGAATTTTGACGTCATTGCGAAAGTAATGTTGCTTTTTTAATGTGATTCTTGTGGCTTATTTTATGTGCTATATCCTCGTCGTAAATTTACGGACGCATATACCTCTTTTGATTCTTAATTAATAATTCTTACAATTATCCCCAATAGTTCCGCTTATAATCAATCCAACAATTTTGAATAAGTAATTCCTTGAATAATTTCTCGATAGATCCTCTCGGCTATATGTTGTAACGCTGCATACACACACACACACACATACACACACACACACCATTCTACTGCTTTTATCGCGCGAGTCCAGTCATAAATAATTTCCGACGAGGATAGCAAATATGTATTCTTCTCCAACACTCGCGCAAAGAATCGATAAGCCGCCTACCAGTGTGCGAGCACAAATCATTGCTAATAATGTCGAGCGTATATTAGATCAAGCTCCGTCGTGAAATATTTCGTACAAATATCGATTGGAAAGAAACGTGACTTATGACGCAACTATTATTGCTTCAATAAATGTTCGCGTAAACCGTATCATATTATCGATATCATGGTATCGTTGTAGCGCCTTATCGGCGAGTTCTCGGGAGGAATTTCGGGAGGGAAAGAGTACGGTGAAAGAAACAGGCGCGGTGTCGGCGCGATTCCGTGATATTATGCAGAACAGAGCGGCAGGAAACGGTGTAACGTCGGCAGTAGGCCTCGTGTACGAGGGTGGAATATGCTTAACGTTAATTTGTACGATAAAGGAATTATTGATTTTTACTTAGCCGGCCCAGTCAAGGGTGAGAGAGAGAATGCGCGGGACTGGAGGAGGGGGAATCTTGCTTTAAAGTGGAGATACTAATGAGACGCCTTTAACGCGTCGTTATGCTGCCTCACGCCACGAATCCTCGAGCCGGGGATGCCGTGCGCTTTCTCTTTAACATTCCGGGACGTTTTAACGATTTCCATAGAATCGCGCGTCTAAAATTGAAACGGAATGTCGGTCGTTATTTTAGTTCGCTCCTGACGGTCGCTTGGTTTTCTTCCAATTTGCAAAGAAATTTGTCGCTCTCACGTAACCTGACACGAGTAGAGCACGCTTAGACAAAGAGAGAGAGACGTCATCTCGCGAATTTTTGTCCGTCATTCGAAACTGAGTTTATCGTATCGATTAATTCGTCACCTAGCAAGTCGTAAATTCCGATACAAAGAAAGCGAAAGCGCTACTGAACATTACCTACGTGGGAAGAAACGCACGCTCTATCTAAAGACTGCATACCTTACGCACTTATTATTTCTAATTTTTCTTTTTAAATACCTATATCTGTCTCCCTCAGCGTCTTTGGACACGAGATATTCTCTTCCCGCTTGCTGCATCCCGAGGTGTAGCGAACGATTAGAGGATCTCGAGAGAAAGATTCCGATGGGAATTATCTACCTATTCCACGCTTGTCGGCGTGGATTTACATCGCAAAAGAGACCGTACGAGAGAGTTAACGAAACGGACTATGTACGTATAGCTCCTCAACAACGACGTTAATTTATTCATAAACAGAAGAAAGCACCTCGCTCCTCTCGAAAAACACCGCGTTCCCAGCGACGAAAAAAGCGCTCCACGCCCCGAAAACTTTACATACACGCGCACGCAAACGCGAGTTAGCATGATATTAATTAACGTGGTCCGAGAGGCCCGCTCCCGCTCAGACTGCTGCCGCTCCAGGCAGCCATCGAGTTGTACGTAGTACATACGTGCGCATGTAAAACACCGACAGCCGTACATTATGTACATGTAAACCGTCGCGGCCGCGAGCGCGAGCGCGAGTGCGGACGCGAGCGCGGACGCGGCTGCCTCGGCGCGCGGCTTGAAAATTTGGAGTAATAGGAAAACTCCTGAGCGGAAAAGAAGTTCAATCTAGCCGAGCGGAGGGAGAGAAGCTTGGAAAAGCTCTTTGGACTCCTTTGATTCCGACTCGCAGCCCCTACCACCTTCTAAATCTTTTCCCCTCCCTCTTTTACCGACTCGCCAACCGCCCCAGCAACCCGCAGCAGCAGCAGCAGCAGCAGCCACCGCCACCCTGCTCTCGCCACCGTCGCTCACCGTCGACTCCGGTAACGTTTTTCACGATAGGAAGAAGGTTCCAAAAGTTGCTTTGCCAAGTTACCCTGCGGCTGTGCATCGGACCGGTCTCTAAAAATCTGACTTTCTTCTTCGCTCTCTTTAACCACCGTCGCGGATAACCGTCTACGGCCGAGACGGCGGTTCCATCTTCTCCGTATTTACGGGTATGGGAATGATGAAAAGGAGAGAGCGAGCGACGGAGGGAGTAGTAGTGGTGATAGTAATAGTAGTAGTAGTAGCAGGAATAGTAGTAGTAGTAGTGGAAGACCGTCGTGTCCGCGTTTTAGCGGCCGCGTTCAAAGCAGGCTCCTCTCGCTTTGGACACGAGCGAGCGAACGAGAAAGAAAAAGAGAAAGAGAGAAAGAGAAGGGGTGAGAAAGAGAAAGAGAGAAAGAGAAGGGGTGAGAAAGAGAAAGAGAGAAAGAGAAGGGGTGAGAAAGAGAAAGAGAGAAAGAGAGGAAGGGGGAGAGAGAGAGAGAGAGAGAGAGAGAGAGAGAGAGAGAGAGAGAGAGGGAGGGAGAGAGACGAAGAGTCGCACGTTTTCAACCCTTCGGAACGGTGGATTTCGCGTTTCTTCCGTGTGATCGAGCGTCGAATTTGGGCTCGCGTTCGCGTCGATTAGGTTGTTTTGCTTTGCGCGGCGATCGCAGGAGAGTGCAACGGCGGAAGATTGAAAAGCGGCGCGTGCTCGCGCGGGGAAATATCGTTCCGTTTGTGTCGGGTGGGCGGAAACTCGCGTGTACACGCTCGCCTGCACTCGCGCCACGTGTTTCCTTCTAACTGGACGCAATCCCGGCGAGAAGCGAGTAAACGCTTTTCATCGATTTGCAATAATTTCATACACGATATGGAAGGAGGAAAAAAGCGCGCTCCCGCCCTCCCCATCCCTCTCTCGCCTCCGATATTCCCGCCGTTTATTTTATTCGAAATCCGTGTCCGCCGAATACACTCGTCGAGCACTCTACGTGCTCGTATCGTACGCGTGTTTTTCTCATCGCTGGGAACGAAATTACGATGATTATTACTGTTATTATTATTATTCCCGAATATTTTCGCTAATTAAAAACGCGTCTCGCTAATTGAACTGACGATTATTATGATTACATGCCGCGTTATTACGATATTTTCCTGTTCGGCAAAAGACGAAGAGATCCGCGGCCGTTTCTCCGCGAAGCGAGAACGAAACTTTGTTTCGTGGCTAATCATTGG